TTTTACTTAAAGAAAGACTGTAAATTTTATATATAGAAGCATTTGTCAACTTTCAGAGGTACACTTGCATATCCAAAGCAAAAATACTCACGTAACAAAAGTCCAATTTCAATTTTATAGGGTCTTTTAGAGATATGATCTTGAAAAACTTAGCTGAAAAATACCAGAACTTAAAACAGAATTAAATCTGTATTACTGAGCATTTCATGTTAGGACCTGAGATCCTAAATACAGCCATGATTTATTTCACTCTCATTTGCCTGCGCCACACCGCTTCACCCTCATTATAATCACAAAACATGACTTTAGGCAGATTCATTTGCCAGCCTTAATGCTACACTTCCTCTCTGCCTTGTTTTTCTTTTCTTTTTTTTTCTCCCTTGCTTTTTTTCTTCTCTAATATTAGGTTTCAGAATGCAGGGCCAGTCTCAGCTCTCTCCAACTCAGCCTCTGTTAGCTCAGTGAAGCAGAACAGTGGAGCTGGAGGACCTAAATGTACTTAACCCCACACAGATGGGAAACTAAAGCTTTTCCATACCTCAGCTGCCTAGAAAAGAAGAGAGATGGACAGAACGCTATGTTATTTGACGTCACTTTAGACGTTTTCTTTTCAGAACTGTTTTTATAATGCCACATTTAACTATTTGTTGTTATGATGAGAGATTTAGTTAGATGGAAAACAGAGGTCTGTTGAAGGATGTTGCCCTTTTGTACTGATTTAGCATCAGTTTCTTTGACCCATAACCACTATGAGAGAAAAGTGGGAGCTTAGGAGAGCCGTGTTTAACATGCTGCTGGTTTTTGCTGTTACAGCAAGAAAACATGATGAGTTCATTTAGGGCTGGTTTCCTGGAAACAGAACGAAGATTTTGACTAAAGAGATTTTTTTAGTAGAATCACCTCTTTTTTTTTGAGCACTTTAGTGGAGAACTATGTTCAAACCGGTCCCAAGAGATGTCCGTGTGTGTTCTGTGTTTTTACGGCTCTGTGTACCTTGGCTCTAAGTGACTGGCACAGCATTCCCAGTTGAATCCTATCTTCAAGTGAACGTTTCTTTAAGTTTGGGGTTATGGGTAATTATTCTTGAAATGCACAACCTCCATATGGGCATAAAATAAGTACAGCAGTAGTTCAAGCAGAAACATATAACCAGAGGCTATTGAGCCATGTAAAAAAAAAAAACACCTTTTAAACCAGTAATGATGAAGCTTACATTTCAAATAATAATAATACTCACACTAAAGTACGGAGCCCCACATGATGTGGGGGAAAAAAGTATTGTTGCCACAATAACAAAAGTATTGTTAATTTTCTCATTTTAGTTAAATCATAACCATGGATTAAGAATTTGTTATCTCGTTTTCTTTGCCACGTTGTACTAATCAGTTACTATTGTATTAAAGGGGTCATATGATGCTGCTAAAAAGAACATTATTTTGTTTATGCAAATATTCCCACATCGTGACGTAGATATGTGGGGCCGTGTTAGAACGAGCTGTTTTAGGTAGGCGTGGCTGACTCTTAATTTTTATAAAGAATATCTCTTTGGATTTGAGACTTTAGTCTTTGCAACTTTACAGATCTTCTTTATGCACCAAGAGCTTGTAACACTTCAAAGAGAAAGGAAAAATTTAAATCGCATCATATGACCCCTTTAAAGGGGTC